CAGGGCCCCTGGCTCCAGGCTAAGGCCCTTTCTCCTGTCATCCAAGCCCAGGTACCCTTTATGGAGACTATGGCCCCCAGGCTTGAGCACAGTAGGCACTTTAATACGAGGTCTGGCAATTAAGTTCTCGAGCTTTGTTGCAATGGTGTTGCTAACCTTTTTTGATATCAGAGGGATTCTTCATTATGAATTTGTAACAACTGGCCAAACTGCTAACTAAGTTTACTACTTGGAAGTGCTAAAAAGGCTGTGTGAAAAAGTTAGACAAAAACAACCTGAACTTTTCACCAATTCATGGCTCTTGCATCACAACTATGCACCAGCTCACACAGAACTGTGTGTGAGGGAGTTTTTAGCCAGTAAACAAATAACTGCATTGGAACACCCTCTCTACTCCCCTGATCTGGCCCCCAGTGACGTCTTTCTTTACCCAAAGATAAAGGAAATATTGAAAGGAAGACATTTTGATGACATTCAGGACATCAAGCGTAATATGATGACAGCTCTGATGGCCATTCCAGAAAAAGAGTTCCAAAATTTATTTGAAAGCTGGAATAGGCGCTGACATTGGTGCATAGCTTCCCAAGAGGAGTACTTCGAAGATGACCGTAGTGATATTCAGCAATGAGGTAGGATGAGTTTTTCTAGGATGAGTTTGCGAACTTAATTGTCTGACCTCATATGTTTACTCTCTTCATTCATTTATTCACTGTGTACTCAGGGCCTGCCCTTTTTATCATCCATACAACCGGGAGAATGTGGGTCCCACCTGATAACCTCAAAAGTGTTTTTTAGTTTTTTTCCTTTCAGGGGTTTTAATCTGTGGGTTCTAAATCTATTCTGCCTCTTAGGAGCTGTGTGACCTTGGGCAAGTGCCTGACTGTCTCTGGGCCTCTGTTTCCTTATTGGATACATGGGAGAAGGTCCCTCCCTCCCAGGATGGTTGACAGAATTAAACCAGTTGAGATGTAGGATGGGCTCAGAACTGGGCACACAGCAGGCACTCAATATGTGTTCACAATTACTATTATCTCTGTCATTATTGCTTCCCAGTTTCATCCAGGAGGGGTTGGGGACCCCCCCCAATTTCAACTGCCCCCCTTCCTGGGGCACCCTGGGAAGCCCCTCTCCACTGCAAGCTTCCCAAGCCGGTCCCTGCCCACAGCACTGTCCCTGGAGGTTGGCACCGCACAAGGCAAGAACAGGGGCCAGCCCACGGCAGCGTCAGCAAATGGGCACCAGCTGGGCTGGTGGCTGGGAAGGGATGGCAGCTACCTGGAGCAAGCAGGCCTGACAGCCCCTCCCCCGCCCAACCCTGGCACAGAGCCCACCAGCCTCAGGTTTCTTAGGCTGTCAGAGGGGGCGGGGAGGCCTGGCTGGGCTCCGGGGCTAGGCAGGCAGCTTCCCTCTCTGGGCCCTGTTTCCACCAGGCTCCTTCCCAAATGCAAGGCAGGTTGAGGAATGCCAGATTCACCCACTGCTGGCCTCCCCCTCTCCAACAGCCTCTTGGCCATTCTAACCCCAGGGCCTTTGCACTGGTTGTGCCCCTGCCTGGTGCACTCTCATTCAATCCCTCCAGGCTTCCCTCACCTCCTTCAGGCCTCATCCTCCCTGTCTAGAGTGCCCCCCCGTCTCTCTCCATACCCCTCCCGTGATTTGTTTCCCTGACATCATGTTCTTATTAATTTAATTGTGAATTGTCAGCTTCCCCATCCCCTGCTCAGGTACACACAGCTACCACCCTCCTCAAAGTACATGCATTTAGCAGGCAGCCCTCAATGTCCCAAAGGGAGGCTCAGTCACCCGCTCCTTACGATCTCCCCAGCTGTCCCCAGCCTGACCCCAGGGCACACACTGCATCCAGCCCAGAAGCCAGGCTCCTATGGCTGCAGTGGCACCAGACAGACATGTGGGGCAGCCAGATTTGGCCTCAGGAGGCACTCTGTGCTCTAACAGCCCCAGTGCTGAAGGGACCTTCTCATGGCTTGTCCCCACCCCTACATTCCCCAAAATAAACCCAAAGAGGCTTGGGATTCCTCTTTGGGGCATGGCCCCACCAGTCCACCTGACACCCCTTGGGAGAGGTGGGACGGCTGGCAGGGAGAGCCAGGCTGTCCAAGGACAAGGAAGGGCTGAGTGTGAGAGGGCAGGCTTGTGCAGTGCCTCTGTGAGTCTCTCTGTCTCTCCAAGTCTCTGGGTCCCTCTGTCTCTCCATGTTTCTTTCTGTATCTCTCTGTGTGTGTCTCTGTCCTTTTGTCGGCTATGAGGCCCCACTCCTAACATTGGAGGTGGTACCTCCTTTTAGTTATATGGTGGGTGTCCCCCAACACCTACTCTGTGTTCTTCCAGAGGTCAACTGAGGCCCATCCCCATCCACCCATCAATTCCATGGCCTCCCTGCAGGGCTGAGTAAAGTGGATGCTGTGCTCTGGCCTAGGCTGGGATCCCATCCAGCCCTGGGACCCACAGGGTGGGAGCAGAAAGGTGGTGGCCAGTGTTCTCTGCTATTGGACTGACACCTGCCTGGCCAAGAGCAGATTTAACTCTGGCCCAGAATGAGAACAGGGGTCCTGGGGTAAGTGTCAGGGAGCTGGGGTTCAGCAGGGAGATCCTGGAGGGTAGCCTCAGTTTGGGACCCTGGATGAGACTTTGACTGGTGGAAGCCTAAAACACAGACCCAGCCTGGAGGTGGCCAAGCCATGATGACTGGCTGCCCACATTGCAAACCACGATTTCCCTCCATCCCTTTCCGCCATTGAGCATGGAAGGCTAGGGTAGGGGGCGATATCAGTGACAGAAGCTGCCTAAACCTAAATCCCACTTCTGCCCTCTCTTAGCTGGGAAGGACAGGTCCCTTCTTTGGGCCTGTGTTCCCTCATCTGTGAAATGGGTACAACAACGATTCCTGCCTCATAGGACTGCTGTAAGAATGGAAAAGAACTGCTAAGCCCTCAGAAAAAAATGCCTGTCAGAGAGAAAGTGGAGCTAGGAGTTGGGAGTTTTGAAGCATAAGTAGTTTTCCATATAAGAAAGGCATTCCAGGCAGAGGAAACAGCATGTGCAAAAGCCTGGGGGTGGGAAATCATAATTATAATGCGGATGTACTATAATCACCCATGGAGCCCCAGTCCTTTGCTTGGCACTTGTCTTCAACTCCATAAGGGTTGTTTGTTGAGCACTGACCATGAGTACCCAACGCTCCAACAGGCAGCTATTTTTGAACTTCCCATTTTATAGACAAGGAAACAAAGCAGAGAGGGTAAGTGACTTGCCCCAGATCACCCAGCAGCAGGCAGCTGAGCTGGGGCTGGAATCCAGGCCCAGCTCTCACACCCGACCCTCACTCCCAGCCAGCTGGGGCCGGGTCAGCTGGGGCCAGTGTGAACAGGGATTCCCTTGGGATGATGGAGCTGGCTGGAAGCAGGGGAGGGTGCAGCCTTGACTTTCCCTGGCCCTCATTCAAGGAGGCTGACCAGACTGGCCGGCAAAGGCGTAGCAGCCAGGCTTGAAGGTGTCTGGGGAGGCCTGGAGGCCTGGCCTGCCTGCTGAGCCCAGGGGGAAAGGGGGCTGGCTGGGGGAGGGGAGGCGCCTGGAGATTGTGCTGACGCCAGCAGAAAACTCGCTTCAAAATTTTATCAGCTCTGCGTAAAGGAGGTGGGGGCAGGGTTGAGCGTGGAGGATGGATGTGGAAGGGGAGACCTGGACCTGCATGGTAATGAGCCAAGGCTGCCCCTGCCCCCTGCCTGAGACTGTCACCTGGTCCACCCCTCTGAACACCGCTTCACTGCAGGCCCCAGTGGGCTTGTTGCTATTGGTGGGAGCAGGGGAAGGAGTAGATTGGGTCAAGGTCAAAAAATCAAGGTCAAGTCTAGGAAACTCTGCCTGGCTCTCCTTCCCACACACCCTGAAGACCTAAAACTCCACACCCTCATCTAATCCTTATACCCCATACCTAGGAGTCTGCATAGTTGTTATCCCTATTGTACAGAGGGGGAAACTGAGGCACAGAACAGTGATATGTCCAAGGTCACACAGGGGATGCATATGGAACATAGACACACAGACAGGAAGCAGTGGCCCTGCCCTTGGCCACCAGCACTTGTGACCTCGAGAGGCTAGACCACTCATCCAGTCTCCACATCTCCACCTAAGCTACTGACCACCTGACATGCCCCGACCCCCATCACTACCCAGCTATCCTGCAGAGCTCAGCTTAGCCACACCTCCTCTTCCAGGAAGCTGCCATGGATTTCCCCACTGTCGCAAACCCTGCTAGTCTCAACATTAGGCATTTGACCACAGAACCAGGAAACACCCAGCTGGAAGGGCTGGAGCAGGGGGACGCTGGAAACCAGAGAGGATGGTGACCTAGCCAAAGTCACACAGCACCCCAGCTTTCCACTTGTGGCACAAATGTTTGCCCCATCAGGCCTCTGCTGGAGCTCTGAGAGTTAATCAACCAGTGTTCGCGGCACACAACCCCAGCACTCGCCCAACTTTTTCTGGAAAGATCAGACCGTCTGTCTCCCAGCAGTCACTCTCTTGTCCTCATCCCTGCTCCTAACAAGGCCATATCTTGCCTCTCAGACCTTCTGGGATAGGGTCTCATCTCCTGAGACCTCAAGGGCCTGCCAGCCCCCCTTAGACATTAAGATCAGAACCTGCCTCTACTTTCAGACCCCCAAGACACACCTGCTTCCCCCCTCAGACTCTCCTTGAATCATATCTCTTTTCCTTAGACCTTCACATAGCATGAGTCTGGCCACCTGGACCTCAATGTAGGTTCATTTACCCCTTAGACCTTCCAATTGCCTCTGCCTCCCCTTTAGGGCGTGTGGGCTGCCTCCTCCCTCAGACCTCGCCTGGGTCTGCCTTCCGGCAACCAAGGACCTCCAATAGCCCGCCACCCCCCTGGGACCTCCCATGGGTCCCTCTCCACCTTCCCAGGCCAGTGCACCATGTCTTCCCCTAGGGCTCCGGTCCACGCACAGACAACTCACCTCGCTCGCGCACGTAGTAGGCCAGGTAGAGGTCTAGTTCCTTGACTGCCACACCGATGTGGTGCGGCTGCACGCAGAGCACCGGATGGCCACACTGCGCTGCCTTGACCAGGCGCTCGCCGTCAGTGCTCTCTAGCGGGATGCCCTTGAAGAGGATGACCATGACCAGGTCCAGCCGCCACACCTTGTCGGCCTGGCGCAGGCAGTCGATGCGCCGCATCTTGCCCTTCTGGTCGGGGTTGGAGAGCACGCAGCCTGGTGCCTTCTTGCCGGTGATGGCCAGCACGAAGTCCTCGCGGCACTCGGGCCGGATGTCCTTGCGCAGCTTGGCCAGCAGCCGGGACGCCCACTTCTGCTTCACCTCCGCCTTCTCACCCAGCAGCTCGTCCTTCACTGCACGCTCCTCGTCCTTGGACATCCGCTTCTCGTGCTTCTTGAAGTACTTACGCTTCCTCGCCTGCAGGTTGAACCAGGTGTAGGCGAAGGCGCGCACGTGAGGCAGCAGCGCCTCGATGAATGGGTGGAACTCATCCTGTGGGTGGGAGAGGCCTGAAGTCAGGAGGCGCTGGGAGCCGCGGACCCACTGCCTGGCCCAGAGGACAGGCTTGGGGATCCCCACGCAAACCCACTAAGCGGGGAGGGCCAGGCAGATGTGGGCAGGGGGCCACTGCAGACCCCTCCACCTCCTGGGGAAAGCGGAAGAGACCCAGCAGAAGTTCAGAGAACAGTAAAGGACCCACTGCTCAGATGGGAAACTGAGGCTTGGACTAGGTGGGACTAGTCCAAGCATGGAGGACCGTCTTGAACCCCAAGATACAGACAAGTTGAGGGTCCCAGGTGGAGGCTGATGGGGACCCATGGCACAGATGGGAAAACTGAGGTTGGGAGAATGAGGATGTCCTGGATCCAATCTTTGCCTTCTGGAAGCAAACCCCAGTTTGAAAGTACCATAAAGAACCAGATAGTGAATACTTCAGTCTCTGTTGCCTTCTACCCTGTAGTGCAACATTTACCATAGCTGAGATGTGACAGACAGGCATGGCAGTATTCCAATAAAACTTTGACAAAAACAGATGGTGGGCATTGAGCCCCCTGGCTGCAGTGGGAGCTCTAATGTTAAGAGCAGGGCTGAGTACACAGTGGATGCTCAATAACTGCAGGAGAAACCAGGCTCTTTCCTCAGATCCACTGCTCAGCAGAGGAAGCTGACACCAGATTGGGGGTGGGGTGGTCAGTTGCCTCTACTGGCCCTTGGCATTAATGAAAAAAATAAGGACAAGGGGCCATTCCTAAAGACTGCACGTATAGACAGGGCTGGCTGAGGCCCACAGGTCAAGACTAGGGACATCTGGATGTCAGGGGCTGATGGAAGGGTGCGGGCTCCTGCACAGACCCACTGCAGGGGCCAGGAAAGCTGAGGCCCAAGGAGACATGAGATCAGAATGCACTAGAGACAGGGGAGTTCAACCGTGGAGGCGGGCCAGTTCACCCTACCCTGTCCCTCACAGACCCATTCCACAGATGGAAAAACTTGAGTCCTGGGGAGACTGAGACCTGGCTAGAGCTGTGACTTCAACATCCGCCTCCCATCATGCCTAATTGGTATTGCTGGGCCCACAACGTTCATTTTATAGACAAGGAAACTGAGGCCCCAAGAGTGGAGCCAGTCATGAGAGACTGGGACTGGACACCTCACCCATCTGACTTCCTTCAGGAAAGCAGCAGCCCCAATTGAGCCCCTCAGAGAGCCACATGGGAGACCCCCATCCCCTTCTATGGGGGTTGGGGAGGCTATGTCACTCTCTCTATTTTCCAGCAAGGGAAATTGTCTGCAGAACATCCGGGACCTGGTTTCTCAGCCTCAAAGAGCAAGACATTCAAGGAGAAAGGAAGACAGAAGAAGAATATCAGTGCCACCTCCCTGCTCTTGCCTGGGCTGTGCTGGGCTTCTTGAATAGGGTGATATCGCTTCCTGGCTTATGAACCCCATTATCTGCCCAGCTCTCAAAAGGCTGAATTACGCTATTACTAATACTATTGATGTTGTTATGATTATTTTGGTTGCCTACAATCTTCCAGGGGACAGGAAAAGGCTCAAAGCTCCACTACCTATTGTGTGATGGGGAAACTGAGTCTAAAAGAGGGGTGGATACCTGGCCTAGGTCTCACAGGGTCTCAGGGCCTGTGTAAGGATAAGGACCCGGACCCCCACCCCCAAGAAGGCCACTGAGCCCCTCTCTCAGAGCAGCCTGCTCTCCGCAAGGCTGAGGTCTCGGGGACAGAGACAAACAGCTGCTCTGGACTCTTGGTTTGCTTTCTAGATGGATGTGGCTGGGCTTGATCCTACCCCCAGGCCTAGACACTCACAGTACCCCCCACCCGACGCACACCCCCTGCTCTGTGCTCCATCTCCCCTTGGGCCACCTCTGGCCATGAGATGCTGGGGGGAGGGGGACGACCTCAGATTTCACCTATTACTGAGGCTCTGAAAATAGCCTCCTGTCCTCGCCAGGGTGGGGCGGACGGGGCTCGGCTTGTGTGCCCAGCTCCCCACTCCAATGTCCCCCGAAGCGTGAGTCACCAGAACAGCTGTGGCAGGGACTGGACCTTGGGGCCCTTTTCCGCTGCCCCCGCTCCTGGCTGACCTGCTGAGGCAGAGCGAGAATGGAGGGGGCCCATCCCCTGCAAGTCCCTGTAAAACCTCAGAGTTGCTGTCCTGTGCCTGAATACCACTTGACATACCAGCCCCAGAGATGGGAAACCACAAGCCCAGGCTCACACAGCCGGTCAGCAGAGTTGGGACCAGAGCCCAGGTCGTCTGGCTGGAGAAGCCAGGGGCAGGGAATCAATAGAGGCACAGGTTGCTGCCTCATGGAGGGGATGCCAGAGTGGCCAGAGGCCAGGGCAATGGTGTGGACATTAGGCCATGGCTGCCACTCAAGTTCTGGTGACTACTGGGGCCCTGATAAGAGGAAATTAGGAAGGTGCAGCTGGGGTGTCAGCCCACAGGGGCGGGCGACCATCCCCACATTCCTCCTCTCCTTGAACCCCTTTCTATCTGAGCACCTCCCCACTTCTGAGCCCCTCTCCCTCAATTCTTGGTCTGGGGTCCTCCTCTCTGAGCCTTCACCCCTCTTCCAGCTCCTCCTCTCTCCAAGCCCCGCTCCCCCTCTGATCTCTACCCCCTCTCTGGGAAAAGATGCCAGGGAGGCGGGCAGGGGCAGGAGCCCACGTCACCAGTGACCCCAAGCTGGTCCTGGAGAAAGGAAGACAAACAGTCCGTAACTGGGTCATGGACCTGCTGCCCCATCCTCCCTCATCCTCCCAGGGAGGTCAGGCCAGGTGAGAGGCAGGTCTGTCACTCTCTTTGTCCCTCAAGACCTGTGACAACCAAGGCCTCTTCCCCAGGCACCTCCCAATGCCCTTACTGGCTGACTAGGCAAAGGAGATAGCCAAGGCAAGCCAGGTGCTGAGAACTCTCCTGAACTCCTACACATCCCTCAAAGCCCTATCACCAGTATTCCTCCAGACAGCCTTTCCTGCTCTCCTCAGGGTTCCCTAGACCTAGCCTGGACCTCAAAAGCTAAGGGTTCTGAGTCCAGCTCTCACTCCTTCCCTAACCCTGAGGTCCAGGGCTGAGGTACTCATTGCTAGGCAGACTTTGTGAGGGAATGAGGCTGGGTGACATCAGCCTCCATTTTCACCTTTTGTATGACCCAGGAACAAATCAATGCTCCACTCTGGGCTACAGTTTCACATTCTGTACAATGGGCAGAAAGGGACATTGCAGCCTGTTGGGGGTGCAGGGCTTGTCTATTGCCCTGGTAACCAGATACAAGTTGTGGTGGGAGGGGGAGCAAGGCCAGGCCTTTCCCAGAAACCCCACTTGGCCCACTAAGATTTCGTGGCCAAAAAGGACAGCAGCAGCTGGGTCGAAGCCCTTGCTGGGCCCTGTGGTTTGGACAATTGTGCACTGGGCTGTGCCCCGCAGTGGACTTCCCTGGGGCTCTCCCACTCTGACAGTCCAGTGCAGCAAAACAGGACATGAAACTCCAATTCCCACCCCAAAAGTGTTCCAGGAAGGATTCTCTCTCCTTCATTCACTCAGCGATTCAACAAACATTGCGAATCTTTCTTGCCACCTCCTAAGAATTTATCCCAAACTCCTACGCATCCTTCAAAGCCCTGGTTGCAATGTCCCCTCCTCCAGGTTAAGTGGCAAACAGCAGAGCTCATATGCGAACACAGACCCGTCTGGCTCCAGAGTTAGGGTCCTAAACTAGCATCACTCCTCCCCTCAAACTCAGCGCATCAGAGCTTATTAACAGCTCTTATCTAATGAGGGAAAGAGTAATTCAGTTGTTCAATAAACATTTACTATCTACTGTGTGTCAGCTCCATGCATAGTGCTGGGGACTCAACAGTGACCTGAGTTCAGCCCTCACCCGGATCCCAATCTGGGGCAGAATGGACATTAAATAAGCCAAAAATATGCAATAAAACATCAGGTTGAACAAAGTGGTTTGAAGAAATTTAAAGGAGTTTGAGGGGGACAGGGAGCCCCTTGGGGGTTGTTTTTCAGCTGTGAGTGGTCAGGGAAGATTTCTCTTGACCTGAAAGATTATAATCTAGCGTAGGAGCTTCTTCTAAGTAGAGAAAACAGCACGCGCAAAGGTTCAGAGGTAGGACTGTGCCTAATGTTACATGGGAACAGCGAGGAGGCTGAAGCTGCAGCAGAGTGAACAAGAGGGAGAGTGGAGGGAGTAAAGGCAGGGAGGGGATGGGCTCGCTGGTTCTGCAGAGCCTGATGGACCTTGGGGAGGAATTTGGGTAAAATGAGGCCAGAGAGTGAAAAACTCCTGCTAAACTGACACAGTGAGTCTGAGCCCTGGATCTCCTGACTTCCCTCTCTGTGCCTTGGTGTCCCAGGAAAAGGATGGGGGCTGAGCCAGAGGGCCACGTTGTTAGAAAGAGATAGACAAGGAACGAGGTTGTGCTTTTAGAGGCTGAGCATTTATTGTGCCCATTGTGCAGAGAAAAGACTGAGGCACTGAGTGTTGAAACCACCACCCCTGCAGCCAGGCAGGAGCAGAGCTGGAGCTGGACTTGAATCCAGGTCCCTATGACCGTGGATGTCCTGACTCTTTAACCCCTCTGCTGGGCCCCTTGAGCACACGGTCTGGCCCCATTCTTGGGGCTCCCCAACTATGTCCGCTCTGCACCCTGTGTCTCTGAATTCCATGTGGCTCCTCCCCACTGCTCAGTTCCAGGCAATACACCATCTCCTCCTCAGGGAAACCCAATCCAGGCAAAGCAGCAGCCTGGTCCTGCCCTGTCCCCTTGTTCCTGCCCATCCCCTCGCCTAGACTGCAGCCCCTTAAGGGGATAGATTTGATCTGTTTTGTTCACCGTGTCCCCAGAATCCAGATCAATGAAGGCACAGTTCCATCCTCTGCCTGTTGCCCCCATTCATGCACCCCCAACTGACAAAGGCTGCTGGTACCCACTTGGGTCTGGCCAAACTCGGGAAGACCCTACACAGGGCTGGGCCTCGAGGAAAGGCCAACAGAAAAACCCTTGGGGGTCAAAGCTCCAGTTTCTGCAGGGTCCCTGTTAGCCACCATTATTTGGCACCTACTGTATACCAGGCACTGTGCTAAGGGTGAAGCATCAGAGGAAGGCACAATTATATTCAGCATTAGAGGACATAAGGGGAGGGACTAAGGCTCAGAGAGACTCAAACCCCTTCTCTCAGTTGGCAGAACCATCTATCCACTCATTCATGCAACAAATATTTATGAGCACTGACTGTGTGCCAGGCCCTGGGCCCCGCACCTGGGAGCTGTCCTGCCTCCCTGAATCCTCAGGCAGCCTGAGTTGAGGGTTACCATTTACTTCATTTCACAGGAGGACAAGGGGGCACGGGAGGCCTAGGTCACCCACCCAGAGTTACAAAGCTGGAAAAGGAGAATGCCATTCTGAGCCTCCTGAGCAAAGTTTGCATGGAGGTCTGAGGCCACTCTAGGTTTCTGCGACCCGCCCCCCTCCCATCACCTTAGGGCATATCCAAGATGGGTTGGGGCTGTCCTCATAGGTGTGGTGTCATTGAGTGTACACATGCGCATGGTGGTGTGCAGCCCCTGTGGAAGCCTGTGGGAGCCCCTGCACTGCAGACCTCCAGTTGACAGGCACCCAGGTGCATTAAAATGGGCAGGGGCTGCGTGGGGCAGAAGGCACCAGACATGGCAGCATTTTCCATCTATTTGTCGTGAGACAGGGAGGGAGGCTCAGGCAGAGAGAGAGAGAGAGAGAGAGAGAGAGAGAATATGCTGACTCGGCCAGAATCCCAGCTTCGTGATTTACAAGGCGCCGGGTCCTGGCGCTGAGGCACCTCCACCGCAGAAAAGGGAGGGGGGAAGAGACACAGACACGGAGAGAGACAGGGAGAGACATGGATCGAGGTTGTGCCTTTTATAAGATCTAATCAGAAGCAATCAGAGCCCTGGTGGGGGGCACACAGGGAGTGCCCATCTGCCCAGGCCTGGCCAACCAGCTAGGTGGGAAGTGTCCCCAACCCCCAGCCTCACCAGTCATGCTGTGCTGCCCTGGGCAGGCCCTGGCCCTCTCTGGTCTTGGCCCTCTCCCAGCCCAGAGGTGTTGGGGGAGCCCTGACCCCTCAGAACCCACACCAGGCCTAGACTTCACTGCCTTCTGCCTCCCCCCTACACCTGGCCCATAGAAGATGCTTAATAAAGACCTATTAAATAGAACAAAAGTCGGGGGCCCTCTCCCAGTCTCAGTCTCCCCGCTGGAGAAATGGCAGTAAAAAGAGTGCCTCCCTGAGAAGGACCAAGGTGAAGGAATGAAGGAAAGAATGAATGAATGAGGGAGGGGGCCCTGGCAGCAGGGCTGGCCATGGCCCCAGGGAATCCTGGGCACTGCAGCCAAGAGGGATTTGGCCCCAAACCCGGAATAACTAACGTGGCGGTGGCGGTGGGCGGGAGGGAGGCAGGGAGGGAGGCCCAGAGCGGGGCAAGCGCGGAGAGGCTGGCCTTCCCGCCTGCAGGATTTATGGAAGTAACGGCTGCTCCACACAGTTCCTCTTAAGAGTAAAAGTGAAAAAGCGCTTGAGTCACCACCATTGAAACAAGGACAGGGCTCCCAGAATCCTCCAGGGCTGCTCCAGCTGCTGCTGCCCTCCTTCAGTGGACAGGGTTGGGGGCACAGGGCAGGCTGGCACCAGAGCCACTGGGCTCCTTCTCCCCCCAGCTGGTCTCAGCTCCTAGGAGGATCGGGGTCGGATCGGCTAAAAGGGAGCTATTTTAGGCTGGACTCAGGTTGTAAAATTAGTCTGGTCAAAGGGGGAGATGGAGGCCCAGAGGCAGAGAGACATAGGGGGTAAGGAGAAAGAGACACACAGAGACAAAGAGAGGGCAAAGAGACAGTGAGGAACAGAGATGGAGAGATCTGGAGAGAGAGAAACAGCGGCAGAAGAGATAGAAGAAGTGGCAGGGAGAGACAGAGGCAGAGAGAGAAAGGGAAAGACAGAGATGAAGAGATAGAGAGACAGAGATGAAGATAGAGAGAAATGGGGTGGGGTGGATAAGGGAGACTAAGCCAGACAGCCAGGGATGGGAGTCCTGCAGGGGCAGTCAGGGTCCTCCCAGATCCCCCGCTAGAGACCCCAGACCACACTGGGGCTGTGGAGACTACACTGAGGCTACAAGGGGAGGGCTCCTGAGAGGGGTTCAGGGGCTCTCCTCCATGGTGGGGGCCATGTGGGAGAATAAACAGAGGAGGGGGAGCCCCTGCGTTTGGGCTGCTCCCTCCCGACCCCAGGCAGAAGCGCTCTGGTTCTCTCTGCCAGTCTCTGTCGTACCCACATCCCTTGCACCCAGCAACCTCTGATTTTTGTGATTTTACATTTCTCCCCAAAAGCCTCCTGGCTGATCCTTGCCCTGCTCCTGGGGAAAGCCAGGCCCAGCTAGCGTCCAAGTTCACTGGCGACTCCAGAGCTCTGGTTCTCCCTGCCACCCACTCTCAGCAACGTGGATGGAGGCCTGTCTCCTGAGGCGTCCTGATGGGGGAATTCCAGGGCGCAGTGACAAAAGGCGGCCTTCCAATCTCCTTGCCTGGAATAGCCTTCCTCTGCCTGGCCCCCCATGTGGCTCTTGAAGTTAGAGAGCCAAGGGAAGGGCGAAGGAGGTGGGGGCACCCAGAGCCACCCAGGCCACCCACCCCCTAAGCCTGGAGACTGGGAGGCCCAAGGTCACACAGCAACTGGACTAGAACCCTAGTTGTTATTGGGGAGCTTCAGGACGACTGGGAGACAGAAGTGGGCCAGCGGTAATGCTTTGAGAGACACCCCAAAAGTTGCTCAGAGGGGCAAATGGGGGCCTGGAGAGGGGCAGGGACTTGCCCAAGGTCACCCAGGAGATCATGGGTAGGACAAGCCTGAGACCCACCCGCCCTAAGCACCAGCCCTCACTGTCTCTGTGGAGAGCCAGGAACTCCCCAGTGGGGGCTGAAGGAGGCCAGTGACAAAGACACGAGGACCCCTGGCAGAGACTGGCAGTCTCTGATACTCCCCATACAATGATCCTCAGGACATCCAGGACTGTACTTTGTAGGCCATGCTACCCCTCTCTCCAGAACCTGCCTTAGCCTATCACCTCAGAGGAGACTGAGGCAGGAACTCCACTGGCCTGTCCGGGAGGGAGCTGGGGAGTCCCCGGGGTGCCATGCCGCCTGGGGGAGGGTCCCCCTAACCCTCTCAGGTCATTGCATCAGAACTCAGCCCGGGCAGCCTGGGAGCGCGGCCAGGGGTGAGAGGCTACGGGAGGGGGCAGGGGCAGGGGCAGGTGCCGGCGGGCGAGGGCGTGCGCAGCGCCGCAGTGCCCGCCAGATCCCGGAGCGCCGGCCTCCCAGCTCTTCCCGGCTGCGGCGGCGACTCAATAATCCCCAAATCCATGCAGCGAAAACATCGGGGTGGTGGTGGTGGGGGCGCGGGGTAGCAGGAGACCAAGCCGGGACGTCGAGCACCCCCTCCCCCACCGCTGGCGCCTCCAAGTTTGCGCGCCCCCTCCCCCTCCACGCACACGTGGGCCAATAATGGGGGGAAGGCGGCCTGGGCTGGCATGGTAGGGCGCAACCTTAGGGGGGGGCGGGGGTCCGGGGAATACATCAGAAGGGTCCCCTCCTCAAGAGTGCTGGGGAGCCCAGGGGCCAGCCAGGACCCCCTCAATTACTCTTAGAGGCAGGCCCGGTTCCAGGCACACGGTTCACGCAAAGCCGTCTTTGCGGGCGCCCCTCAGACCTTCCTGGGTGGGTGGGGGAACGCGTCCTGCATGGGGGCGGCGAACCTGCAATCGGAGCCCCACGTCCGGGCGGGGGAGAGGTCCTGGGCGTCCCTGGGGGGGGGCGGCGGAGCGCGAGTCACGGGTGAGGGTCCCGGGTGTAAGTGGGGGGGGGTCTCCCTGCCCAGCCCACCCCCTACCGGCCCATGGCCAGTATTGGGGCATCCTGGCCAGGGGGGCGGGAGGGACGCACGCCTTTTCCGTCCCGCCTCCTTCGGCTTCCAAACTCCCGGGCCAGGATGCGGGGGGCGCGGGGCCGTGGCGCGGGGGGCGCAGACGGGGGGCGTACCTGAGTCAGGCAGAGCGGGGACGAATACATCCCGGGCGCGGCGGGAGGCGCAGGGCCGGCCGGAGCGGGCGCGCTGAACTTACTGAGTCATTTTTCCAACCTCCCCCCCCCCCCCCCCCCGCGGCCGCGGCCAGCGCGCGCTCCTCGCCACCTCCTCCCTTGGTCTCCTTCCCTTCCCCCTCCCGCTCTCTCCCTCCCTCTCTCCTGTGTCTCCTCTCTTTCTCTCTCCCTTTCTTTTCTGTCCCCCCCTACACACACACCACCACCACCTTCTCTTTCCTTCTCCCCTCCTCCGTCTGTGTCTCTGTCTCTCCTCCCTCTGGCAACCTCCCCTCTCCCTCCCCCCAATTTCTCTCCCCTCCCACTCGAACCTCCCACTTCACAACATCCAACTTTCAAAGAAACGAGGGAAAAAAAGAGCGCGAGCGAGGAAGGAAAGCCGCTTCCCCTAGGCCTCATGAACCCCATTATTGCTATTATAACAAATTTCAAGCCGCCCAGGTCCCGGCCAACCGATAGGGGCCCGCGGTCTCGCGATCCCGGACCGCAGAGGATCCTCCAAGACCTCCCGCCCAAGTCAAGTGGGGAGAGGGCGCTGGGCTGTTGTTGCTGGACACTTGGGGGCCGAAGGTGGATTTTTAAGACCCCCCCCAACCCACCCTGAGCTGGCCGGGAAGTTGAAGAAACGAGCCAAGGGGATGGGGGGGGGGAGGGAAAGAATGAAGCAGTGACGTGTGCAGAGGCCAGGCACGAGCGCGCGGCTTTCCCCTTAAAGATGTACATCCCGGGGTGCACGGCAGGAGAGGTGGGGCCCCCACACTCTCTCCCCCTGCTCTCCAGACAGGGGCTGCAGTGCCTGGGCTGAGGGGCTTGGCTACAACTGCGCCTCCGTTGGCCAGAAGGCCCCAAGCTAACCCAGGAGCCTCCAGGAATCTGCTCTTTCCTCCTCCGACAGCACCAAAAGGGAACTGGGGGGGGGATGGCTTTGGCCTCCCCTAAATGTCTCCCCAGTACCCCAGGAGGAAGATGTCCAGACAGACCTCAGGCTGGCCAGGAAAACCCTTGCAGCCTCTTCCCAGGTGTCCACCCCAGCCTTGTGCCCATTTCACAGATCTGGAAACCGAGGCACAGTGAATGGCTTGGAGCCAGGCCATCAGCCCCTGGAGCCCAAACTCTTCAAGCTACATTGTTCTCCGTGTAGAATAACTAAACACAGACCTTCCCTCCCCCAGTCTGAGTCCCCAGGATGCCCAATGATCATGACCAAACCCTCTCACCTGGTTTACTCCCTGAATCCTCCTAGCCTGGCTCAGAGGCTGCTGTTGCTCTCCTTCCCACATCACAGACTAGGGTGACCTGGACCCTCGCTTCTATCCCTTGGTGTCAGGCTCTGAAAAGTGCCTACCGCATGGGGTCAGTTAGCATAAGGATAATGTCACATTGCAGCAGAGCCTTGACTTTCTATCAAATGTGCACGGAGACATTCTTAGAAAGCTTGGCCATTTTGACTAGTCTCTCCAGGAGTCCTGAGGTCAATGACACCCTGTTACCAACTTGGGGCAGCTGCCCCACGCCTGGTGTGAAAGATGCCAGTAACCCTGATATTCTCCTGTGTTACAGGGGAGGAAACCGAGGCCCAGAGAATGGAGGTCACTAGCCCAGGATTCCAGGGCCAGACTAGGAGGGAGCAGGACTCATACACAGCGCGTATTCCCAGGTGCCGGTGCTCCTCACTGCATGTGGCTGACCGTTATTCAGACAGCGCTTAGCACATCGTGCACACTTCACAGATGTTTTAAAAAACCCCATTGTGCGGCTACGGTGGGTATTTCAAACCCAAGGATAAATGGAGGAGGCAATTTCTGGGAACCCAAATACCAACATAAAACAGTGTTTTATTATTTTTAAAATGTCACGAACACATAGAGGGCACAATCCTCAATTCACAGACATTTAAAAGTTAAAGTGGATTTCCAAGCATCCCCCTCAGACTGGCCCCTAATCCCTGCCCTGTCTGCAACCTTCACGTGGCAGTTGAGGTTCCTTTCCAAGGTAAAGTTTGGAGACCACAGACTGCTCCTCTTGGAACCTCAGTTTCCACATCTGTGAAACGGCAACATTAGGACGCATCTTGGAAGGCTGGGGAGATCGGAGACCTTGAGACAATGTTTGTGAGGACTGTGTTAATATTAGTCATGGCAGACTGTAGAACCTTTTGCAAGTTCACTAACAGCAGAGTGTGTGTGTGTGTGTGTCTGTAAAATCTCCCACCGTTCAGGCAGGAGAGGCCCCTACAGTGCACATAGTAGGTCCACAGCAGGCCAGTTGTGGTGCACAGTTGTAGCCTGGGTCTACATCTTCTCTAGCCATCAGCTTAACGTCCCTGTGCCTCAGCTTCCCCCTCTGTAAAATGGGGCAACGGTAGTTCCTACCTCCTGGGTTGTGGATAAACCAGTTTAGAATAGTGCCTGAATGCAGCGGTTTCTTAGCAAAGCAACTGGTGGATGCGGACCTGTGTGTGAGGGCCGGGAGGGGATGTACGATTTAGCTCCCGGCACTTTGGAGCACAGTTTAGCTCATTCATTAAAAAGTGCACTCTCCCTAGAATTCCCTCTTAGGCTTCTCTGTAACTGTCCCAGATACAGATGCACAGGAGTGTTGACTGCCACACTATAACACTAATGCCAACAACCTAGAGCCACCCATCATGTCCCATCTGTAGGAGGCCAGTTCGGCTGTGCCAGCGTGAGCACAGGTTGGAATACTATGCGGTTTCTTAAAAGAACATGGGGCTCCCACATGGAGACGTCTCCAAGAGACATGCTGGGGAAAGCAAGGTCTGGACCAGATTCCTCCTCCCATTTTGATGCCAGGAGCACCCCCAGTCATGACAACCACAAATGTCCCCAGATATCGCCAGTGTGCCCTGGAGGCAGAACCACATCCAGTTGAGAACCCCTGCTGTAGCACAAAATCTCATATGGAATTTTGAAAAAGAATATACATGTACCCTTTATAAGAATATACACATATCCTTTACAAGAATAGACATATCCTTCACAAGAATATAAACATATCCTTTATAAGAATATACGCATATCCTTTACAAGAATATATATGTATCCTTTACAAGAAAGTGCATCATCTGTTCCATCTTCAATTGCTCAAATCCAGGACCTCCCTGAATTGGGGTCCCACCAGGGTAGGGGTGGCTTGTGTAATTAAAAAGTAAGCTTTGAAAGAGTGGAATTCACAGAGCAGCTCAGGCAGGGACAACAGGAGCCTGCATGGTAACGCCACAGCTGCCACACCCAGAGAACAGAGGACACCGCATGAGGCCAGGGCTTGTGAATACTTGGTCCTGATGGTACCACTCCTCCTCAACCCTCCAGGGGGGTCCTGTATGTTCTTATTTTGCAGATGAGAAACTGAGGCTCTAAAATGGAATGTTCAGGTCCACGGTCGTGAGAAGTAAAGGTGGGATGTGACTCTAGGACTGGCACAGACACAGACACACACATACAACAACCACATGGAGTCACAGATTCACACAGACATACACAAACATGTCACACAGGCCCAGATTTCCACATACACAGACTCAGATACAGACAGATCCAACATGACACACACACACACACACACACACACAGTAACACACGGACACATATATAGTGACACAAACAGAGATTCACAGCCTTATACAGACATACACACAGACCCACACAAGCACACACACAACCTCAAACACAACACACATACACTCATCCACAATCACTCACACCCAAACACAATGACATCTTATAAGCACACACACCCACAACAGAACCCCATCCAGTATTCACACACAGGCACCTGTGCACACACATGCAATGACACGTGGCACACCACATCCCTGATCCTACCCCTGGTATTCCTAGCAACTCCCCCCACAGCTGAGGTCCTCCCCTCCCACAAATGCAGGTGCCTGTCTGTGAATGTGTGTGTATTTGTGCCTGTATGTCAGTGTGAGTCCGTGTGGTTGTGTGCACCCGTGTGTGCGCGCAGAGTTACGTACACGTGTGGTTGTGACCCTGGGCAGGACCTCAAGGGTATGTCATAGGTGCATACTTATGGAGGTGCATACATGCATGTGTCCTCCTGAGCACCTGGTGACAAGTGGGAATGGAGGCGAGTGTGGTGTAGGGCAGGCTAGATGTGTGTGACTGCACAAGAGTGTCGCGGGAGAGGATTGTGTCTGAGTGCTGGCAGGCAGTGTAGGTAGGGGAGGGTGAGGAATGAGTGGAGGGGTCTGAGGGTGGGGGAGCTGATGGAAGTATGTGACCCTGAGCACTGTGTATGTACCCATGCCAACGAACCTCTTTTTCTCCTCTTCCCAAATAGCCCCTCAAAATGGGATGCAGGTTTAAGGTAGAAAGCAGAGACTTGGCCTGGCCTTGGGGCTTTCATATTTAGAAAATTATATAAAGGCCCTGGGGTGGGGGTGAGCACAAAAAGGATTCCTCCTGAAGGCAGAAAACAACACTTGGTTGCCCCCCCCCCCCCCCGTGTGGCCTAGTCCTGGACAGGCGCTGGGAGGCGGGCCTGGGGAGACCGCCCGCAGCCTGGGGAGTGAGGGGGGCTCCTTGTCCCCCCTCCTTCCCCGGGGCCCTTCCTAGCCCCAGCGCTTCGGTAACCATCCCTCCCTCAAGACCTCCTCCGCAGCAGGTGGAGGGGACTCCGCCGATCTCGCTCTCCTTCGGGGCAGATCCCCGCGCGCGCGCGCGCCGCCCCTGGCGGAAGACATCGCCGCCACCGAGTGATCGCGTCCCGGCGCCACCTCGCGCCTGAACCTCAGGCCAGACCACCTGAGGCCGCGCCCATTAGGGACCCGAGGCAGGGGGAAGTGGAGGGGACGGGGTGGGGGGTAAGATGAGGAGACAGCATTTTGACATGATAGCGGAAGCACCCACCCCGCACCTAGCAGCCCAGTTGCAGAAAAAAAAAACCTGGGGGAAGCGGGGTGGGGGGAGGTGGGGGGAGAGAGTGTAGACCCATCCCCAAGATAGTCACTCAGCGCCAGTCACACAGACACCCAGCTGTCCCCTAGGACGCAGCCACACGACTCCGTTCCCCATTCACCGGCAACCCCCTAACCGCCACACACTCACACAGGCCACCCCATACACTCACCGAGGGACATCACGGCCCCCGGGGACATATAACGCAGCCACAGTTTCACAGCATCATTCCACAGGGACGCACAGCACAGTCGCCCAGTTACCTAAAGACACACACTGTCCCAGAGCCGCACAATGCTCTAACACACGCAACACAACACACCCAGCCACGTGGATGCGCAGATACACACAGACATAAAGGAGAGGACCCGACGCCTTTGGGACCCACAGACCCTCGGACAGGGACGGGACCACCCAGCCGCACAGATCCGCGAAAGCATCCCCGATTCCCATGCTGACCGTTTGGGAGCACTGGAGCGCCCAAACGCACCCCTTGAGTGCGGATGCCACCGACGCCCGCGGACCGGACACCGGAACCCTCAAATGCAGCCACCGACGCTGGCGGGCCTGGGACGCGCGGCGCGGAAACCTGGTGACTCCCTCCACTCTCCCGACTGAGACCCAGCGCGCGCCACGGCTAGGCCGGGGTCGGCTTGGGGGCGGGGTTCAGGCGGCGCTAGGGCAGGCCTGGGGGCTGTCCCTGCGCGGCGCCGAGCACTGCCGCCCGCTTGGCTCCAAGTTCAAGGCGCCCGGCGGCGGCCGCGGCGCGCTCTCCGCCCCTCTCCGCAGCGGCCATTTTCCGCTAGCTGGCGCGCCGCGCTCGCCGGGGCCAGGGTACCCCCGGGATCCGCCGCGACCCCTGCCCCGCTCCGCCGGGCGTCCACTCCGCGTCCCCGGTCCCCCGCGAGCTGCGCGCTCGGGGGTCCTGCACCCCCGGCCGCGCCCACCCGCCTCCAGCCCCGCCAGAGAGGGGGCGGAGGCCCGGCCTGGTTGGGGGGACCCTCTCCCGGAGCCCCGCCCTCCCCGCTAACTCCGCGGCGCCCACGACGGGCCCCCCACTTAGGGTCCCCCGCTGCGCCCCGCCTGCCAACTCCGCCCCCAGCCGCGGGGAGGGGGGCATCAGCGGACGGGGGTCCTGCGGTGGCGGGCGGGGAGGGGGGAAGACCCGCATCGAGCCCCTCCCCCGACGGTCCCCCTAGACCTGGCAACTTTCGCCGGGAGCCCACGCACAACCCCAAAAACTCCCTGGGCGAAAACGAAAGTGGGGGCGGCGACGTACCATGGCGCTGCTGCGAGGAGGCGAGGCCGGCGCCGGAGCGAGCGCGCTCGGTCCCCGGCGAGGGGGGGCCGGAGGCGGCGGGAGGAGGCGGCAAGGGAGGGCGCGCGGGGGAGGGAGAGAGCGCGCGAGGGAGGGGGCGCGCCGCGCCCGCCCCCCCAGTCCGCAGGACCCTCCCCTCGGCCCGCCTCCCCCGGCCCCGCGAGCCGCCCGCGACTCAGGCCGCTGGGCGCCCCTGCTCCTGCTGCCGCAGCTCCATCCTCCGCCCGGCCCGCGCAAGGGGAGGCCAGGAGCGCGGCCGCGGCAGCGGGTCGTGGGTCCCGGGTCGGGCTCGCGGCTTACTGAGCGGATCCACCTTCGCCGCGGCGTGCGCGCGCTCACACACACACACACACACACACACACACGCACGCAGACGGCTGGGGACACTCGCGGCCAGGGCCTCCTCGGCTCCAACACAGTCACCACGTACACCGACGCGCGCAGACCCGCACATTGGGCGCCTGCAGCGTGTTACAGACACACATAGCTTGCGGGTGTCACCCAGACACACAGGGACCCACGCGCACAGCCGATAGGGTGTCTTGGACGCACACCTCCTGCAGGATGCCATCAACACAACCTGCGTGTGTCACCCAGACAGACACACGGGGACCCACATGCTCACAGCCTGAGGGGTGTCACCTAGGCACCCAGAGCCTCCACGCTGCCACATATATGGACTCAAAGCGTGCAAGATGTCACTCCAGACTTGGGACTGACCCCTCAGGACCACTCCCCCAGGCCATCCTGCCAGCCACCCTGGCCCGTGAGTGCAGGTGTCCCGGATACATACAGTCACAAACACACACAGAGGGGAGATGGGACAGATGGGAACACAGAGACTTGGACACCGAGGGCGACAGACCTGGGGGGCGGGGGTCCCCTGGGGGTCCCGCAGGGGCTTCTGGCGGGGCGGGGGGCGCGTGGCGGCTCCATAGGTGGAGAGGGGAGTGGGCACCCTCTCCCCGGGTCAGAATTAATGACGATGTCCCTGCAGCGGGGGAGGGGCCGGGCCGAAGAGGGTCAGCGCCCCCGCCCCTGCCGCGCGGGCCGCTGAGGGCTGGGATGCCGCGCCGCAGCGCTCCCCCACCCCCAAGCGCTCTCCCGCAGTCCCCCCTCCTCCCGCAGCCTCAGAGTAGGCACCTCCCCTTTTCCCCCCTCCCAGGCTCTGCGTCTGGCGTAGCTGGGGACAATGAGAGGGGGGCTTTCCTGCCCTGGTGGGGTGAAGGTTCCGTTATAATCCCTCTGTCTGGGTTTGCCCCAGCCTGCGACACCAGTTCCCTCTAGGAATTCAGGGGCCCCATTGGGGAAGTGGTTTCCTACTCCCCCAGGGAGGACGCCAGGGTTTAGGGTGGGGGCAGGCAACACCCCAAGAGGAGAGAATCAGGCCCTGGACCCCCTTCTGGAGCCATGGCTGACTGGGGTCTTCTGGAAGTTGATCCTGTGGTTCTGTTTGCGATGCTGTTCCTCCCCCGCGCCCCTCAGGGGTAGGCCTGGGAAATCTCGGGCAAATGGTGGTGACAACAGCCCTTCCTACACAGTAGGTGCTCAGTAAGTATCCACTCCGTGTAGCCAATCTCAACCATCCCAGGAGCATTCACTCTGGGGCACTGAGGTTTTCTATTTCATCTGCACATTTTCTCCACGGGTTTTGTTTTTTTTTCCAGAAGAAAAAAGTGAGGCCCAGAGAGGGGAAATCGTCTTCCCGGAGTCAACCAGCATGTCAGGAGCCCAAGGAACATGATCATAATTCCTTATATAGGGTCCTCCACTGGTGTTAGTGGGGGAGGTTCTGGAGGTGGCCTCCCCTCTCCCAAACCTGAAGCCAAAGGAAGCAGGGTGAGAACTCTAGCTCTGGCGAGGGAAGGGTTAAGAGGATAGAGACCCCCTCCCTGCCATTCCTCCTGCAGTGCATCTCTAATCTGCCTCTGTTAATCCCCAGCTGGAATCCTCAATCCCTCCCCTGCCTCAGGGAATTAGGTACCTGGGAAGGGGGGAGGGGAGGGGTAAATTGACAACAGCCAAGCAGAGATTGTGGTCCAGAGGGCACTAAGCGGGGGCACAGAAGCAGCTCCCCACCCATAATTTTCTTCAGGAAGCCACCCCTGGACCTGCAGGGGTAGTGTTAAGTGCTTTACCAGAGCCTACTCATTTACCCTTCATACCTCTATGAGGTAGGTGCTGTTACCTCCATCCCCGTTTCACAGATGAGGAAACTGAGGCTCACAGGGGTTTAGATACTTGCCCAAGGTCACTCTGCTGTTAAGTGATGGTCCATAGGCTGGTTTCCTGACCTTGGGTCTAATTTTAGCTTCTTTTGCTATCAGAATAGACTGAGAATCTCTCATATCATCAAATCCTGCTTTCTTTTTGCCTAAGAGTCCTTCCCACATCTTTCTCTTTCCTCTCACATTTTATTCTGAGCAGGAAGAAAAAAACAGGAAAACCCCCTCCGCTAAATATCCAAGTCCATAATTTATTTACAAGTTCTGCTTTCTGGTTTTAACTGTAGGACACAACTCAGCTAAGTTTCTGCCCCTCTATAATAAGGATCTCCTTTCCTCCATATACGTTGGCCTGTAGTTCTTCCACTCTAAAACATTACCAAAAGACAGACTGATTAGCAACCATTTAAAAAATGCCTGCTTTACAGAAACCAAAGAAAGGATAACAAAAAATAAGAACATACCATGCTCTGGCACTCATCAAAGTGGGTAAAGATTTTTAAATTGATAATACCCAGTGCTGGTAAGGATGTGGTGAAACAGGCATTTTCATAAATTGCTTAGAGGTAAATTTGTGTATGAGTTGGGAAAGCAGTTTGATAAATATGGCAGAAGTCTAAGACAAGTTCAGACCATATGGTCCATCTTCCAGGAGTCTATCCTGAACTTGAGAAAGGGTATATATGCCCTTAAAGATGTTCATTGCCATATACTTGTGAAAATTGCTATAGATCAGTGTTTCTCGGCCTTTTTTTCATTATCGCTTCCCCTAGAGCTGTTTTAGATATTTTTTTCCTAATCACCCCTAATGAAATTTTAATACCATAGATATATACTGCATATTTGTTTATGTACTGTACATATATATATATCTGTGTTTTGTACATTGAAATAGTAAGATTTTTTCACAACCCTAAGAATCAATTTTTCCCAAGTTGATAATGTATGCTATAAATAATGGTATAGTCTTCTGATGGAATGTGATACAGTCCTTTAAAAACAATGAAGTTGCAATAAGTAAAAGACAACTACTGAGGAGGAAAATGGGCAAAAAGCATGAACAGGCATATTGTGAATGATGAAACATGGGTGGCCAACCAGTGCATGGAGAGATGTCTAATCTCTTTAGGGATCAAGGAAATACATGGCAAGGCCACAATGAAGCCCCATCTTACCCCTATATCATTGCTCCAAATTTAAAATGCCCAACAATACGAAATGTCAGTGAGGCTGTGAATACACAGGGCTCTTCCACATTGCAACCACTTTGGAAAACAGACTAACATTAATCACAACACTGAATATTCATGGCCACTTAACATAGCCTTTCCTCTCCCAGATACATAGCCACAAGAAACCCTTGCTTGTTGCCCCAGGAAACACGCCCCAGAATGTTCATCACTGCAATGTGAAGAAGGTGAAAACCCATACACAGCCCAAATGCCCATCGCTGAGTGAATGGAGAAATGCATTGTGGGAAACTCACCCAAGGGTCTATTAATCAGCAGCCACAGTGGTGTTCCAGCCACACACAAACAGTATGGATGGATTTAGCAACATAACTCAGTGGAACAGGAAGCTCCCAAATATTATACATAGCATGATACTCTATTTATGATGTTATAGTAACTAAAGTGAAACAACAGTTTTTTTGGAAATACAATTGAGATACAATTGTTTTCAAGCAAGAGGAGGATAAATTCCAGATTCAGGAATAGAGTTAACTTTGGGGAGAGAAGCCCAGAGAGGAGGATGAAGGAGAACTATTTTGGAGTGTGAATTATTGTTAAAGTTCTGTTTATCTTGGTGATGTTGCATTTTGGGGCATTTATTAGCAAACTTTTACATTTACTGATAAATGCAACAATGATGAGACCAAGTTGTGAGTCAGACTGGGATTAAACTCATTCCAGCATCTAAAGCCCAGATAAATAGCTAAATCACTAACTCAAAATTAGATTGTGCTGGGAATAGACTGTCAGCTCCATGTTGGGAGGAGGGGGAGAGTCTGTCTTTTTCACAGCTGAGTCCCTGACACTGAAAACAGAGCTTGGCACATAGTAAGAGCTCAATAAATGTTTGTGGAATGAATGAAAGTCTCAGAGGGACCAAAGGCCTTTTAAATCCCATTTAAGGGCTGGCCTAGTGGCACATTGGTTAGGAGTTGGCTTGGGATACCAGCTCTGAGCAGCAGGGCCCAGGTTCAGATCCCATATGAGGGCCAGTGATGCTGCGCCCTCTACAGCTAAGATGGTGAACAACAGCTTGACCTGGAGCTGGGCTGCCGTGAGTCGCAGGCGATGGCATAGGCTGCAGTGGGGCTGGCCGGCAGCGGGTGTGAGCAGGTGTGAGCTGCCGTGAGCCACCGTGAGTGGCCGTCCAATGGCCAGTGAGCGACTGCCTCACCCGGGAAGAGCGCAATGATAATACCAACATGGGCCAGTGAAGCAACATCCTCCACAACTAGACTGAAGAACAAAAGAACAGCAACTTGTCTGTTCCCCTTCCCTGATTTTTCAATGCTGTTCCCCTCCCCCAATTCCCCAATAAAATCTTTTTTTAAAAATCTCATTTAAAAAAAGAGTCATATATATGCATATATATGTATTATATAATATGTTATATATACATATATAAAAATGTATTATATAAAATGTATATGTATTAAGTATGATACATATTATATATACATATGTAAAATGTATTATATATAAAATG